ACCAATGGTTATCAAATAATCCACTGTTTATCAAGTACTAACTACCGCTCTTAGCACCCATATTAATTCTTGGGATCAACCTTAAATTAGGTACTGTTGTAATTACATTTTAGATAAGATAGGGTAAGCTTTAGTCCGATTTCTATGATTTTTCATGACTATGTAGCCTTTGTGTAGAGGAAGAAGAGTGGAGTTACACATGTATGTGATGGATGCACATGTGTGTTGTGCACATTTATTTTCATATGGATGTCAGAGAACAACCTCGAGTATGCTTCTCATGAGCTGTTCATCTTTTCTTTTTTCATTAAGTTTTTAACTTTCAATTTTTATTTATGTGTATGTGTGTGTATATTCCATGTGTATAGGGTGCTGTTGGAGGCCAGAAGGGTGTGTCAGAGCCCCTGGAGTTGGAGTTACATGTGGTTGTGAGCTGCCTGGTATGGGTGTTGAGAATTGAACTTGGGTCTTCTGGAAGAGCAACTAGTGTTTATTATTACTGAGCCATCTCTCCAGGTCCCTCCTTTTTTTGAGACAGGGTCTCTTACTCACCTGGAACTTGACAAGTAGGCTACAGAGGCTGGCCAGTGAGCCCCAGGGATTCATCTATGTCCACCCCCCCCCATTGCTAGGATTACAGCATACACTACTGCATCTGGCTTTTTTCATGTGGGCTCTGGGTATTGAACTCAAATCTTTAGCTACTGAGCTATCTCCCCAACCCCTGCTTTTCACCTTTCTATATTATAACTACATCTAAACATAGTCATAGCAAGGATTAGCATGGTACCTGATGTACAGTAGTTAGTGCTCCATATTATCAGCCTTTTACTGCTATTACTCCCATATTTCATTGAACCCAGGGTCCCATCCATTATAAGATACATCATTAGATCATATGCCACTGGCAAGGAAAGAAGATGCTGCCAATCACAATAATTGAAGATTCCACTGAGTTTTGGAAGATGTATTCCAGTCGCAAAGGCCTGAGAAAATGTACTTTGTAGAATGAATAAAATTCAGTGTTAGGAATACAAGTTCCTATTTAGAGTCCAATGGCTTTAACAACCATCCTATCCCAAGGGTCCTTACTCTTACATATTCAGTTTTGAGTGCACCTTTGAATGGTAGGCTTTCTTATTTAACTGTCTATTTGATGTGCATATCTATAGCTATCTCAAAAACTGCATGCCAAAAAGTAAGTTTTCATTATCTACCATCTTGTTACATGGTAACTCTATTCTTCCCAATTATTCAGGCCAGATACCTTGGAGTCAATAGATTCTGATGTTTCTACTTTCAACATGATCTCCTAGTCTGGGCATCTCTCACCATCCTCATTGCCAATACACCAGTGTGCCTGTAGCAGAGACACTAGCTGCTCACCTCACCCATGCCTGCCTGTTCCTCCTGGGCACACATTTCCCAGCCTCCCTTAGAGGGAGATGTAACCATATGATGAAATTATGGCTTTGTTTTGGTGTGTGTGTAGCCATATGATGAAATTATAGTTTTGTTTTGGTGTGTGTGTGTGTGTGTGTGTGTGTGTGTGTGTGTGTGTGTGTGTATTGAAACAGGGGTCTCATGTTTTGTTTTGGGGTGCGTGTATGTGTGTGTTGAGGCAGGGGGTCTCATGTAGCCCAGGCTGGCTGTCTTGGAATTTGATATATACCTGAAGATACCTGTGAATGCCCAATCCTCCTGCCTTCACCTTCAAAGCACTGAGACTACAAAGTGTGTACCACCCATGCTCCAATATAAGCACTGCAGGATAGAACCCAGAGCTTCAAGCATGCTAGGCAAGCACTCTACCAACCAAGCCACGTCCCCAGCCCATATGATGAGATGACTCGTGGTAGAAGAAGAGAAGAAATGCCATGACCCTGCCCCTATAAAACTCCAATACTCTTTAGCAGCTTTTGCCCCCTTCCAGCTTATTGCAATGGCCATGACTCTGCACCCTCCTCTCAGTGATGACTTTGGTTGTTATGTGTTGAAAGCATCAAAGCCCCTGTCAGCCAGGGTTTCTGACTGTTTAGAGGAGAGTTGCCCTTTGACCTGTTCACCTACCCAGTACCATAAGATGAGCAATTGCAGTTTGGAGGCTTCTGAGCAGTGGGCAGTGAGGGAACTGATATTAGAGGTCAGAAAGATGGAGAGCCATGTTAAAAAGCAGCAAAATTCCTGATTAAAATGTCACCTGTGATAAATTGGAAGCCAGACAAAATGCCTCCTGCACCAATAACTTCATGGCAAGGGGACAGGAGGCAATGTGCGGTGTGCATTGGTGGTTATTTGCCGTGTCTAGCAAAGGAGGGAGCGAGGGAGCAAGGTGGGGGCAAGCCCAGGCAGGAACTGGCCGGCTGAAGAGCTGAAGGGAAGGAGGCAGAAGGCAGGGCTGGGAAAGGTGGGCACTGGGTTTCAAAAGTGGCCTGGCCCTTCATCCCAAATTCTGAAAGGCGGCCAAGAAGAGCTCCACGTAACCAAGTATAGGGGAATGCCCCCGCTGTGACATGCTGGTGACTTTGCACATCTTCCTCTGGGCCACATGAACAAGGCTGAACTGCAGTCTGAAGGGAGTCTTGGCCGAGTGCCCTGTGATTGCTCCTGGAACAGGCAAAGATAAGGACAGGAGCTGCCGCAAGCGAGTTTCTTGGCCCTATCTTGTGGGAGGCTGCCACGGGGTCATTTCTCACCCATCTCCTGGTTGAAGGAGGACAGCCCTTTCGATCCTCCCTGCTACCCAGCTCGAGGGCAGCTGCAGGTTTCTGTGACAAGCTAGGACACTGCTATTGGCTTGTACACTGAGATCTGGCTTGTACATGGTTGAATAACCTACCTACCACTCAGGTGGTTTGTCCGTTGGCTCCTTAGGTGCCATCCTGTGGAACTCAAATGTAGAGCATTGACACCATGGTGACCTTACTTTCACAGCTCTTTATGTAATATCATTCCTATCCATTTGCCCTTGTTATGTGGTATCAGCCAAGCCAGCAGAAGGGTAGCAAGCCAGCCTAAAAACAGTGGCGGGATCAGCCCTGGTACAATCATTGGAGCCCCACTGGTAAACCAAGGATTCTGTCCTGAAGCACAAGTCAGATTATAGAGGTGGTACCCTTCCCATCAAAGCCTGTTTTCCGAAATGGCACCAGGGTATCAGCATTAACTTGTAAGGGAGAAAATCCTGGGAGCAAGTAAGTAAATACTCACAGAAAGCTGACTTCCCAACCATGTCTAGACAAGAAGTTTGGGTATGCTTACAGCATATGGAACTGTGTAGAGGCAAACAGATTGTGTATAGAAAAAAAACAACAACAACATTTGGTATGTAACAGCACATGGACTTCTCTAGAAAAAAGATGAGTATGCATGGGGAAGAACTTGGGGTATGATTACAGCTCATAGAAGAGTCTAGAAGAAAACAGACTTGCACTTCATGCGGTTCTGAAGGAAATAAGTTACCAAAGAAACCAAGGGCTGTGAAGTTTAAAACAATGCTTAAAGCCAGATCTGTTGGGAGGCTGAGGCAGGAGGATCACAAGCCTGCCTGAGCTACAGAGTGAATTTAAGGACAGCCTGGGCAATCTAGTAAAACCCTATCTCTAAATAAAAAGGAAAAAGAGGGCAAGGGGTATATCTCACTGTCACAGTGCCCTGGGCTCAATTCCCTACTGATGATGATGATGATGATGAATAGCTGTCTCCCCACTAAAGATCTAAAAGCTGTGTCAGCTAAAGATTCCCAGAGCAGTGCCAGATGGGAAATGTAAGCTAAGGCAGCCATGGAAGCTCCATGGATAAGAAGGAACTTGGCAGTCTCTTGATATACTTGAAAATTGGAACTATATTTTAAGAGAACATATTTGGTTTTTGTTTGGTTTTGTGGGTTTTTTTTGTTTTTTTTTTGTTTTTTTGATACACGGTTTCTCTGTGTAGTTTTGTGCCTTTCCTGGATCTCACTCTTAGACCAGGCTGGCCTTGAACTCACAGAGATCCGCCTGGCTCTGCCTCCCCAGTGCTGTGATTAAATGCATGTGCCACCGCTGCCTGGCCTAGTTCTGTGGTTTTTAAAGACAGGGATTCTCTGTGTAGCCCTGGCTGTCCTGGAACTGGTTCTGTGGATCAGGCTGGCCTTGAACTCAGAGATCCTCCTGCCTCTGCCTCCTGAGTGTTGGGATTGAAGGTGCTGGCCACCACAGTCCAGCAAGAGAACATATTTGTTAACATCTAACGCATTTCTACTATTCAGAATCTACCCTAGAGAAACAGGGACACTAGTGTTAATCACAGAGCTTTTGTAATGGTGAAAACAGAGCAGCGAGTGAAATAAACCATGCTATAGGCATGCTGAGGATATTGTGCAGGAATTAAAAAGAAATGAACTGTGTAGAACAACTTCCAAGACGAATTATTTACTGAATAAGGCAAATTGCAAAAAAAAAATTATACCATGAACTGAAATGTAAAAACCCACAAAACAACACATATTTATACATGACAAAGTATACATAAATGCTAACTACTACAGTAGTTGCTTCATGAGAGGAATGAATATTGTGAGGGTGGATGGAGAGGGCTGCAGTCTTATCTGTAATAACAAACTGTCTTTCAAAGACAATGAAGGCTTGTGCAAAAAGAAATCAATTGTTTTATAGAGGCTATTTGGCTATGCTGTAGACACTGTCCCTCTCTCCCTTATCAATTTAACATATACTGGACCAACGTGCATCTGCTAGCAGGGATTCAAGGGGTTAATGCAACTCACCAGTGACTAATGGGAAGTTGTGTCTGTGAGTCAAAAGCTAGTCAAGGACAGGAGGCCATAGTAATAACTTTAAGTAATTAGCCAAGGGTGTAAAAGGAGCACGCTATGGTATTACCGAAGCAGTGACTGTCTCAGAAAAGGGGTTCACAAAAAGGATGGAAATAACAGACCATAAGAACAGGGAGGAGGGGCTCCACAGGGTTGGCCCCAGGCTCCATGAAGAGATGCTGCTCACCTCATGCTGATGATTCTCAGTCTGGTTAACTGCAAACAGCTGGAGACTCAGGAAAGGCACAGCTGGTGCTTCAACCAGGGCAAGGTGTCTCTGGGGGAAGCTGCGAGGCACAGGAAGCTGACAGGAAGGAAGAAGAGAAAGCATTTGAGTTCCTTCACCCTCCTCCAGACGACTGTCGGTCTCCTTCTATGCCCCTCGTAGCCAGAGCTAAGCGGGAAGCCACTGGCAAAGCAGATGTGTGGCTTCCAGTGCTTCTAGTCAAAGCCTGGACTTGAAGGGCTGGGACACATGATGGCTGTGTCGCATGTGTGCCTAGCCAGTGAGAGGTCCTGGGTTCCATCTCTCTTTCCCCAAAAGTGGGCATGGTGACACAGGCCTGTAATTTTTAGAAATGAGGTGAAATTACTAAGGTATATTTTATCTGAAAGTAGAAAGGAGACGATTTTCAGGGAAGAAGGGGACCAGCAAGAGGGACAGGAGAGAGCCTTGGGCTGGTGAGTTTCAGTACAATGCTGCGTGTGTGTGTGTGTGTGTGTGTGTGTGTGTGTGTGTGTCCGTCCATACTTTGTATGGTAATAACAAAAAAAGCCAGGTTGCTTTACTTACAATAAAACACATAAATACTAAGCTAATGACTGGATGAATGTTTATGTACTGGACAGGCATGGACTGCCCACACTGATGACAGAAACATGTACATATCCCAATTATTCCTTCACTAAATAGCTATATCCCAACCCTGATACTCTTTCTAAGTGTGAATTCTTTTAAAATTATCATTCTGGATGCTCCTAGAGTTTTTAAAAGAAAGGCAAGATGCAGTCTTCTTCCCCTTCATCTGCCAATCTTATCATTACTAGCTTAGCATCCTAGCAATTTCCAAGGCATTTAGTTAGCTAGTTAGTTAGTTAGCATCATTAAAAAAATGTGTAAATATGTAGAGCGTCTCACAGTCATAAGCTTTGTTTTAGGGGGAGGGGTGCTAGAGTTTGAACCTAGGGCCTTTTCATGTTAGGCAAGCACACTCTTTCCACTGAACCACACTAACAACCATTATGCTTTCTGAAGTTCAGACTGTTCTGTCCTGGGCTGCTAAGAGCTCCGTAGAAAGTGTAGAGTTTTAATTTCATCCTTAATTTCTAGTCAGAGGATCTTCCAGGTTCATCTTGTATCTAGTCAGCCTCAGAACTAGAATTAGCCATTCTCTAAGGAGCTGTGAACGTTTGTTTGTTTTAAATGATATTTAATCATCCCAATCTGCATGCAGTCTTGACTGACATTTTGTTATAATTTCTTTTTTGTTTCTTCTTTGAACAGAACTAAGAAAGCTGTGCTTTTTAGAAAAAGAAGTACTGCTATTTCCAATCTAAGAAGTGAAAGGGTTTCCAGTTAATTTTCTTGATTTAGGTCTTTCTTCTGAAGTGTAAAATCTTAGTTCTTAATGATGCTAATATAATAACCTATCTGATATTCCACTACACGGATACAGTTCCAAGATAATAACATCAATGTTATTAGTGACAATTAGATCACTGAGTGCCATTTAAGGCTTATCTAGTTGTTTTTGTCCTTGGGACCCTGCCACTGCGGATAGGTAAAAATACTCTGTCTATAAGTCACTTGAAATAATTACTGTGTACTTTAGCCACCAGCTTTTATAGCTGGGCTCTTTTTTTTCCAGTTCATCTTTAATTTTTAAAGACTATCTCTTTTTTGCTTGTATTCAGTTTTTAAATTATTAAAAACCAATTTTACAGTTCTCGCATTAGTGATGAACTACTGCTTAACAGCTTATATAAAAAACGAGCGGCGTAAATAACAAAAAATGTAGTCTCTCACAGTTTCTGGTGGTCAGAAACCCGGGGCAGCTTAGTTCAGTAGCTCTGGTTCAGAGAGGCTCAAGGCAGACTCACCCAACCACAAGCTTGTTCCGAGCTGGAGGCGTGGCTTCCAAGATGGCCCCTCACATGGCTCTCATTGGGCCTCAGATTCTCCTCACGTGGAACCACTTGGCAGGGCAAAGAATTTCCCAGAGAACAAGTGATCCAGGAGAGAGAAAAGAGCACAAAGGAAGCCACGTTGTGTCTAAAAACCTAACTGTGGGAAGGGTTACACAGCCCAACCATGCCACCCTGTTGGTGGGCCATCACAAAGGTGTTGAATATTGAGATGGCTATCTCTGGAGGCTCTCTGTTACATCAAACTAAGAAACAAACAACAGAGATATGAAACAAAATACATTCCGAGAAACCTAGCTCCCGCCTTTGTACATCCGGCATTTCCTCCCTCCACCTTTAGGAAGCCACTTTTATTAATTCTTGCTTTATCTTCCCAGTATTTTGTTTTGAAAAAATATCAGAAAATAGGCACCGACTTAGAGCCCCCAAGCTGATTTGCTACCACACTCTAGCTGCTTGCCTTTTCTCAGCAGCATACGTTTAACAGCAGCATACAGACGTCGTCAGGCCACAGGAGTGTCGTTCAACTCTTCTATACATAGAAGAGTTACAACTATACCCTCCTTTAGTCCTAAAGTTTAGTGGTGCAATGCCTCCATCACTTCTCAGTTATTTATTCTTCACCTTTAAGATGTCTAATTGCTTATAATTTTGTCATTACAAATAATGCTAAAGTAAATATCCTTACGTATGAAGATTTTCTGGATATAAGATTATCTTAGACAACTTGACTTAAAGGTACAGATTTATTAAGTCCTGTTGATGCATTGCCAAATTGCTCCACACTAAACATTATTTACATTACTTACACCTCCATGATATTTCCACATACAACAGAGACAGTGTTCGTTTTGTCTGCATTCTTTTTGGTTGGTTGTTTGCTCGTTTGTTTTTTGTTTGGTTGGTTCTTTGGTTTTCAAGACAAGCTTTTTCTGTGTAGTTTTGGCTATCCTGGAACTTGCTCTGTAGAGTAAGGTGGCCCCCAACTCAAAAGAATCACCTGCCTCTGCTGAAACTAAAGACGTGTACCACCATGCTTGGCTCTTGTGTGCATTCTTTTTTGTTTGTGGTTTTTGGTTTTTTGAGACAGGGTTTCTCTATGTAGTTCTGGCTGTCCTGGAACCAGCTCTGTAGAGCAGGCTGGCCTTGTTTGCATTCTTATCTGCACTGGGTTAATCTTTACTATTTTGACAGAGATAGCTAAGTATATTCCTGTAGGAGTCATAAATCTCCACACCGTATTTAGTACTCAGTTTACCTTATCACTGAACATTTCAATGATAATTCATTCTTTTTCAAATTCACACACACACATAGCAAATATCATTTAATTTATTTTTCTATAAAGTTAATCTAAAGTGCATGTAGACTCCAAGAATATTTTTCTGAGACAGTAAATATTTAGTATTTATATGCAAGACTATATATAATGTGTGCAAAAACTGTGAAGTACAACAATCATTATGCAAGTAATATGAAATCTGATACAAATTATTTCTATAATTTTAATATGACCTATTTATATGCTTAGAAATAGGAAAATATCTGAAGTATTTCGTTAGATTTATAGCATCATGGTTTATTTTTACTATAATAATGGCTATTAATACCTTCTTACTAAGAAAATTCAAACTGGGGGTTAAAGACCTATTATTCATAAACTTTACATTAAATAAATTATTTTTGAAAGAGCACTGTCATGTTCCCCATCGGGATAGTAATGGCTGTTTCTAAGTTCATGTGTCCCCATTCTTCCCTGGAGTAGCAGAATAACTTCTCCTTTTACTTTTCAGAGTGATTTTCCAACATATTCTGGCATACATTAGCTAGCTATTCAGAGTGTAATTTATTTACTGCTCATGTTGTAAAATACTTTTGCACAGATGTGCTGCTGCCACCATTAATCCTGAGAATATCTATTTAGGTCTTAGTATTTAGGCACGGAGCTATTTTTCTGAATACCAGCGCCCTGTGGGGATGGGGGTTTGTAGCAGTAAGATCACTGACCAATCATCAATCTCATTGTTATCCATAAACAAGTATAACAAACTGGGTCGAAATGCCCTGAATTCCTTGGGCCAGTGGTTAAAAAGAAGCACTGTTAATTAGTATGTTTCATGTCTTGACCAGTGGTTAAAAAGAAGCACTGTTAATTAGTATGTTTCATGTCTTGACCAGCAAAACCAGGCAGGTCTGTGGAATTAACCCTTGTAACACAAAGAACACAATACAGATGACATCTCAAAGCTTTCCAGTGCTAACACATTTCAAAACACATTGTTTTGGGCTACAATGCAAACGAAACAATCAAACAAAACCAAGCACATACAGCCAATAACCAAAATGAGAGCGAAGGCAGGGTACTTAAAAAAGAATATACAATTAATGCAAATGTTAAAATCCAGTGTCAGAGGAGGCAGGAAAAGATTGGCTCTTCATCTACTGCTCTATATGTATAGAGGGTTTTCCCATGGCACTTATTGGTATTCTGCATCAAAATTCTTTTAAAAGTGCACTTCCCAATGATATAGTTAACATTCCATCTGTGTTCTGATTATTTTTCGTCAGCTCGATACAAACTAAATGCCTTGGGAAGAGAAAACCTCAACTGAGGAATTACCTCCATCAGATTGGCCTGGTAGTCAAGTCTGTGGGGGCATTTTCTTGATTAATGATTGAGGTGGGATAGCCGATCCCACCATTAACGCATCACCCATGGGCAAGTAGTCCTAGGTGGTATAAAAAAAGCAGGCTGAGCAAGCCACAGGGAGCAAACCAGTGAGCAGTGCTCCTCCATGGCCTCTGCTTCAGTTCCTGCCTCCAGGTTCCTGTCTGATTCTCTCATTGACTCCAACCTGCAATCTAAAATCAACCCTCCCTGAATAAGTTTCAGGACAGCCAGGGCCACACAAAGAAACCCTGTCTTGAAAAACCCAAAAAATAAAATAAATAAACCGTTCCTATCCAAGTTGGTTATGGTCATAGTGTTTGTCACAGCAACAGAAAGCTAACTAGGATAATCCTGAAGAAACAATGGGAAATATGGGCAGGGAAAAATTACTAGGCTGTTAATTTCAACAGAGCAGACCATAACATAATGTTATAGACACCCGAAGGCCAGCCAATATGAAAACTGTTTCATTAAAGCAGATGTAATTATTCAAAGTATTTGTATAGGAGTCCATTTTGTGGCAGATACTGTCAGAAATCCTTTATGTTCTTCTACACTCAAGTAGTATTTTGAGCAGCGGTGTTGTCTGCTCAAGGCACAAAATCAGGACAACCCTGACCCCACTTTCCCAGCTCCCCCTGCACCTAACATTTTAGTTAAGGTCAATGAAATGTGAGAGCCTACTAGGCACCTCTCCAAAAGTTTTTGCTTTCCTTATGAAAGGGACGGATACTTTTCTGCCAACAATCACCTATTACAAACCTGGTAAGTGAGTGGTAAGTGTTTTCTGCAGTTTGGAGGAAACAGTGTCCTTAATGGTGGTGCGCTGTGAAACGCTGTTCTGTTCGTAGTCCCCTCTTTTAAGGCTCCTAGCTACCCTAGCTATCAGGAGGGTTACCAGCCTGCAACAGCCCTATTCCGCCGCCGATTGCTGGCTCTGGGAATGATACTCACAAGAAGGCAGCTGCCCTGCCAAGTGACACCCCCAGCTCTTGCCCAGGGGCAGCCCGCATCAAACAAATGCCTCAGCTTTCTTTCTTCGAATTGTGACAATGATGAAGGGAATTCTAAACCGCCAAGCTCCAGCCGTTGTGACGACTGCAGCACCGCCTAATGTCCTCTCCAGTCTAATCCTATTTCATTCCCTTCCCCCACGCCGCGCGTTGGTCTCGTAAGCACTCCGGGAGAAGCTTCCTGCACACAAATCTCTTGTCTCCAGAGTCTGTTTCCCGGGAAACCCCACCCACAACACTAGCGATACATTTATTTAAATGAAAAGATGTTCAAAATATATTGCTACATACCAACAGGTTATAAGGCAATATGCATGATGTCATTCTGTTTTTGTCTTATACAGTCTTTTCTCTATTTGCACAGAAAAGACATCTGGGAAACATTTTAAGAGATCACCTAAGAATGTCTTTTTGACTGTGTGATATGGGATTTCGTTTCTGGTTTTGGTTTTTTTTTTTTTTTTTCTTGAGACAGGGTCTCATGCAGCCCAAGCCAATCTCAAACTCCCTAAGTAGCTGCAAGTGACCTTGAACCCCTGCCTTCACCCCACCCCTCCAAGTGCTAGGATTATAACCCTGCTTCACTATGCCTGGCAGTTAGGGAATAATTTCTTAAATAAGACTTAAAAAGTGGAAGCCGTACAGAAAGGCATATACATTTACACATTTAAGTTTAAAAATTATGTTAGCCACAGAATACTTTAAAAATCAAGACCTTCAGCTGGGTGTGGTGGCACATACCCCCTGGAAGCAAGAGGCAGGGGGATTCAGGAGAGCTAGGGCTACAGAGTGAAACGCTGTATCAGGGGGGAAAAAAGAAAAGCAAAGCAAAAGCAAAGTCACCCTTTGAAAGCAATGTTTTGTCTTTTTAGTTGTGAGCCTAGCCCCCAGTCTTGTATCTTCAACAGAACTGACAAAAGATTGATTCCAGAGTATTTAGCAAAAAAAAAAAGTTCAGAAGAGAAGGCATAGAATTTTTACAATGAAAAAAGCAATTTACAAAAGAAAAAAGTCATATTGCTAATAAATTATTTAAAGACTCTCGGCCTCACCAGAAAAATTCAAAACATGTTTCAAACATCAGATGGATTAAAAAATATATAAAAATATTGATAACACCCAGAGTTATGAAGAGTATAGAGAATAAGGTATTGATTTACAACATTTAAAAAAAATTTAATTAGGTAATTAGACTCAGCTTGTCTGGGGAGTGATTTTAAATTATTTATTTATAAAGTTTTATCTTTTGGTGTGTGTGTGTGTAACATGTGTGCATGTGCAAGCATGCTCTGAGTGTATATAGAAGTTACAAGACAACTTGTAGGAGTCAGATCTTTCCTTTCTAGCATGTGGGTTCCAGGATCCAACTCGGCAGCTATCTCCTTTACCCACGGAACCATCTCCCTGGCTGAGAATAAGTGTTAATGGCAAGAACATTTGAACAACAAAATTTCTATTGGAAAATGAAGGAACTGTAGCATGTTCTATGGGGTAATATGCATCAGCTAACAACAAAATGTACACGTGCTGTCATGAATGGACTGGCAAAACTGACCCCCCAAAATGTCAAGAGAATAAAACAAAGTTACTCAGCGTGTGCATAGTATAATCCCATTTATTCCTCCTTTCTTTAGGAGGTTCTGGAGATTGTACCTAGGGCCTCATCTAAGCTAGGCAAGCAGTCTACTACCTCCATTTATACTTTCAAGTGATCACTATACACTTCCATACATATATATATATATATATACATATATATGTATATATATACAAATCCAAGAGAAAATTTTATTGAATGATAATCTGCCAAACTATTGATAGCAATGGTTTCTGAAAGGGATGTTCAAGAGGTCTTGGGGTAAGAGGGGGTCATCTAAGGGATCCTCTGAGTTTGTTATTCTTATCAGTTCAATCCCCCTGTGCAGTACTATCCTGTTGTATTGCTACTCCACAAATATACCTCTGTTCTTTTTCAAAAGATTTTTTTTTTTTTTGCACATTCTGGGGTCTTTAATTTTTTAGGTCCTCTAATCCTTTAAATTTCCATGTAAACTTTAGAACTAGATTTTTAATATTTACCAAAACAGCTGTTGATATCTGGGTATGTATTACCTTGATTCTAGAAATCAATTAAGGGGAATTGACATATTAACATTTTGGCGCTTTCAATTTGTGGATATGGACTATCTTGTTATCTACTTCATTTTTCTTTGGTGTCTCTCAAAAGTGTTTTGTCTTGGGCTTAAGAGATGGCTCAGCAGTTAAGAGCACTAATTGCTCTTCCATAGGACCTGGGTTCAATTCCCAGCATCCACATGGCATCTCATAAATGTAAATCCAAGATTTTTTTTTTTTCGGGACAGGGTTTCTCTGTGTAGCTTTGCACCTTTCCTGGAACTCACTTGGTAGCCCAGGCTGGCCTCGAACTCACAGAGATCCACCTGGCTCTGCCTCCCGAGTGCTGGGATTAAAGACGTGCGCTACCACCGCCCGGCTAAATCCAAGATTTGACACCCTCACACACACATACGTGCAAACAAAATACCAATGCACATAAAATAAAAGTAAGTAAGTAAATAAATAAATACATAGGAGTTTTAAAAGGCAAGAATATTAAAACAATCTAGGTGGTGGTGATTCATGCCTTTAATCCCAGAACTCTGGAAGGCAGAGGCAGGCAGGCAGATCTCTGAGTGTGAAGCCAGCCTGGTCTACACAGAGAGTTTCAGGACAGCCAGGGCTACACAGAGAAACCCTGTCTTGAAAACAAACAAACAAACAAACAAATTATTTAAAAAGTTTTGTCAAATAGAGATTTACACATGTTAAATCTCTTTAAATATTTTATGGTTTTCATGATATTACACATGGAATGTCATTTTTAAATTTTTATTTTTCAGTTGTTTTTTGGTAGCTTATTAAAGTAAAACAGCTTTGAAAACATGGTCTCTGTATTCTGTGACTTGAAACATTTAGTCAGCGGGTGTTGGGCATATTCCTAAAGGTTTTCTAAAGAAACAGTCATGTCACATGCAAATAGAAACAGTTTTGTCACCTCCTTTCTGATCTGCATGCTCTTTATTTCCTTGCATTCATCCTCAGAGTCAAATGTCTAGTACCACTTGGAGAAGAAGTGGGGAGAATGGACATTATTGCCTGACTCCTAAATAAAGGAGAAAATGGCCAATATCTCACTATTAACTCAAAGCTAGCTATAAGGGTTTTTGTTTGTTTGTTTTTTGTTTTTGTTTTTGTAGGTATCCTTCATTCTCTTGGGAAAGAAAAAAAATAATGTACTTGAAGATACAGCCATATAAACTATCAAAATTTAATCACAAAAATAGATGGGAATTAGGGCTGGGCATATAGCACAGCTGGCAGAGTGCTTTCCTAGCATGTACAAGGCCCTTGGCTACAAGCGAAGCACCGCATAAACCCTGTAATCTCAGCACTTAGTAGTAAAGGGAAGAAGATCAGACGTTCAAGGTCATCACAGCTACATAGCAACTTCAAAGCCAGCCTGAGATACATGAGACTCTAGTCTCAAAAGAAAGGAAAAGAAAAAGAGAGGCCGAAGAAATGGCTTAGTGGTTAAGAGCATTGAGTGCTCTTCTAGAGGATTGATGTTCGATTTCCAGCACCCACATGGCTGCTAACAACATTCTGTAACTCCAGTCCCAGGGGATCTGATACTCTCTTCAGCCTCTACCAGCAATGCATACACATGTACAGACATGCATGTAGGCAAAACACTTATACACATTAGATAAAAATAATAGTCTTTTAAAAAGAAGGGAAAAGAGAAAAGGAACACTAAAAATTAAGAGTGGGCTAGGCGGTGGTGGTGGTGGTGGTGGCGGCGGCGCATGCCTTTACACACAGCACCCGGGAGGCAGAGGCTGGTGGATCTCTGTGAGTTTGAGGCCAGCCTGGGCTACATACCAAGTTTCAGGCAAACCAGAACTACACAAAGAAACCCTATCTCGAAAAACAAAACAAACAAACAAACAAAAATGAAAAGAGTGGGGGCTGGAGAGATGCTCGGCTTTCAAGAGTACTGGCTGCTCTTGCAAAGGAGCTGGGTTTGGTTCCACTTTCAGGGACTCCAGTGGCCTTGTCTGGCCTCCTCTGGCACCAGGCACTCATGTAGTGCACATAACATATATGTAGGCAAACACTCATCTACATGAAATAAAAATAAAGAAGTCTTTAAAAAAAATTCCAGAGCATCAGAGATATTCGACAGCTTCAAGTGGTTGCATTGTTGTAACTTAGGTTTTTGATGATGTTATCCATGAAATGCTATTTAAATATTTTAATTGTTTTCTGGTAGTGCATCAAAGTAAAATTGAGTTTCCCTCATAAAGAAATCATGCCAAAGCATTTTAAATTTGATGCAAATTAAAAATATAGAAATTCAACAACTTCCAAACACAAGCAACATGAAGAAAATTAGAATTTTATATCTGTGAAAATATCTTTCATAATGTCAGGCAAGATGAACACATTCTTCAGCATCTGAAATTGCTGGAAAAATTCATCACCCGAGTATTTACAGTTCAAGAAATGTTCATGTTTCCTTCAGGCAGAAGGAAATTTATACCAGATGGAAGTCTGAATCTATACAAATGAATGAAGCCAAACATGGTATGTGCTCACTCATAAGTGGATACTAGATATAAAGCAAAGGATAACCAGACTGCACCTCACAGCTCCAGGGAGGCTAGCTACTAAGGAGGACCCTAGGAAGGGTGCATGGATCACCCAACAATGGAGAAATGGATGCTATCTACATGAGCAAGCCGGGGGTGAGGGTGGGTAATGGAGGGCAAGGGACGGGGGATGAGAGCTTAGAGGAGTGGGAGGTTCGAGTTGGAATGGGAACAGAGTGGGAGAGCAAGGAAAGAGATACCATGATAAATGAAGACACCATGGGAATGGGGAGAAGCAGAGTGCTAGGGAGGTTCCCAGGAGTCACAAGGATGACTCCACCACAGACTACTGGCAATAATCGAGAGGGTGCCTGAGCTGGCCTACTCTGGTGATTGGATGGTTGTCTCCTAACTGTCGTCATAGAAACCTCATCCAGTGACTGAAGGAAGCAGATGCAGAAATCCACAGCCAGATCCCAGGCAGAGCTCCAGGAGTCCAA